GTGGCTCAACCAAGAAATTTTCGAGCCCAGGCTTAACACCTGGCACCAGGAGGCATCCGTCCTGGCCAGGGCTTCTGCAGGCTGTGAACTCTTGAGGCAAAGAGCAGGAGGCACTGGTCATGTCATGTCATGGACAACACCTGAAAAGGGTTTGAGTTTTTTTGTGTATTTGTGTGTGTTTTTTTTTAATCTTACAAGGAGCCATAGGTGAGGCATGAATGAACAATGGCAAGTGTTTTGTCTTACTGGACTCATAGTGTTTAGGTGGAGACGTGGCAAGGTACTTTCTAAAAGTGAGAGCTACCACATTCCCTGGTGAAACACAAAGCTGATATTAAAAACACCCATAAGATGCTCTTGCAACTCTTTTGAGTGACCCAGAAGGAGTGAAGGAAGGAAATGGGAGTGCTTCTGGAGAGACTGCAGGGAACGCATCCAGTCCTCCCTTCTGGATGCAGAAATGGCTGGGGATGTATCCTTCCAGAAATGCAGTTCTACCCCAACAGAACTTTGCAATTGTGCACACCATTTGTTCGCCATAAAAATTATGAGGAAAATTAGGATGAAGCAAAGAGGAATACAAGCAGTTTGAACTGGTATGTCTGTTTAGGTAGCATGTGGCTCTTTTACAGTATGTGGAGATGATTCAACGACTGACCTCTGACTACCTGGGGAGTAGTTCCTGCTATAAAAAATAAATATCTGTATGGTCCATTGTAACACTTGACACAGTTATATAGAAGCACATCATTCTTCCCTCCTTACAAATCAATACGGTAGGTTCTGGTCCCTCAAATGGTATATTTGAACTAGGTGTCTGAGCGTGTATGTGCCACACGAGTGACGCATCAGATCATAGATGGTAAAATTGAGAGTAGCTTCCTTGTAAGAGCTCAAGAAATCATTTTAACCCTTCATCGTAAAACCACATGTCAGGCTCCGAGAGTCAACATTTTCATGGTTTGTTGCTTTGTGATTTCTTCCTATGGTAACCACTGGGAGGAACTGCCGGACGATGGCTTGCACCAAGCTGAACGTTGCAACAATCAAGGCGTTGTTTTGCAGGTTTGTTAAAAGCAGAGCTCAGAGCCATTGGGTGACAGATAATGACTTATTGTGCTAGTCCAGATTGAGAGTTTGGAAGCACAAATTAATTTGCCTGGCAAAGGTAAGAGTTTAATCTCAGTAATCTAAATTCTGGAGTTAATGAGCTTGGTGAAGATCAGAAACTGTGCTTCCACTCTGTGCCTACATGCTAGTTGGGATGGGGCCCTGCTTTGATTGCTGCAAGATGTTGTTTCCCTGTCAGCGTTCAAGCCAGAGATCAGGGCAAGTGTCGATGTTAATAAGATTTTCTCAAAACGTTATTAAAATACATTAGTCATTCAGATTGTGGTAGTCCAGCATACTAGGCGGAATACTAGTTGCCATTTCAGGACAAGCTAAATCAAATACTTGTATCTTTTGGGAAATAGTTATCTTCATTCCAGGTATTTGTTGTTTGAGAAAAGTGTTTGTTGGTTTCTTTATAGTATCTCTAAGTAGATATGCTTCTTAGTAAGGTTATTCGAAGAAAACAGACTTCCAGAAAATACTTCAACAGATAATTCACCCTAAAGATCTTTTCTCATTACAAAGCTTTGTTTCTGTTAAATAACAAAGTATTTTTAATAACTTTTCATTGGAAACCAGTTCTGGCTTTCATGGTTTTCTTTATCTATGCACATACATATACAACACCAGAGCTGGCAACCAGAGCTCACACTGAGCTAACTTAAAACTGGGGAGTGAACCCAGGCTGGATGGACCGAATATTCTGGCATGTAAGTCAAAGGCAGATCAGGCAAACAATGACCTCCAGTGCCTGCTGAGGCCTTGTTGGTAGGTAGCAGAAATTTATAGTCAGACTGTAATTTTGAAGGCAGTCAGGGTGGGATGGCTGGGCTAGGCCCTGGTGGTCGCACGCACATCAATCACCCGGCGGAGGCTGAGCTTGGCACTGTCCAACACTGCTGCTGATCATATTCGTGAATTCTCAGAGACCGCAGAGCACCACCAGGAAGCAGACTGGAGTCTAATCGATGCTAAAGGACACGCTAGGATGTATCAGGACCTCAGCTTCACTGAGAAAAAAAGTCCATTTGTTTAAAAAGAAGAAAAAGGCATGACACTGAACACATTAAAATGGACTATTTCATCAATAGGTTAATAGAAAACCAGGCTGCAAGTTCACTTCCTGCTTATATGTCCGTACTTTAACATGCGATTAAAGTTTGAAAAATGAAAACAGACTGGGAAAGGGTCTTTGTGTACTGGAAATGGTCTTCCTTTCCTGAGGGTGCCAAACCTCGATTTTGCCTATTTATATGTAAATTTTTTTCAGGAAAAACAAGTTTTCAGCTGGGAAATTGTGCCTCTCTAGTTGCTGGTACCTGCTGGGACTAGTTAAGTATTTCTAAAACTGAAGATTTTTCATATTGAAGGATGCATACAACGAAGATATATTTAGATTCGATGAACTTTAATTTTTAAATAGATCTAACTTAATCTTCCAGATAACATTACATACTTTAATTTCAGTGATATATAGTCTAAAGGATGTCACTCAGATGAGTGACACGAGCCAGCAATGTGCACTTGCAGCCCAGAAAGACGATTTTGTCCTGGGCTGCACACACACGAGTGTGTGCACACTCTGGGGAAGCCTTGTAGCAGCCTTTCAATGCTTAAAGGGGATACAGGAAAGCTGGGAGGGACTCTTCATTAAGGAATGTGGTGATAGGACAAGGGTAATGGCTTTAAACCAAAAGAGGGGAGGTTTAGATTAGATGTAAGGAAGACTTTTTTCACTCTGAGGGTGGCAATGTCCCAGGCTGCCCCGAGGAGCTGTGGGTGCCCCGTCCCTGGCAGTGCCCAAGGCCAGGCTGGATGGGGCCTGCTCTGCTTGAGGGGTGGCACTGGGGGGGCTTTGAGGTCCCTTCCAGCCCAAACCGTTCTGTGATGTAAGGTACCCAGTCCTCCATTTTCCCTCTCAGCATAGAGCACTAAAGCCTGCAGATCACTTTATTACAACAGGACATCTAGCTTAACAGTCCAGGGTGCTGAGGCATTTCTCTTAGCTGCAGTAATAACTTTTTTATAGCTGTTTTACTGTCTGTGCAGTTTGAAGTTCTTTCTCGGTGTGTACATGAGGATGGCTTTAAACAGGCAACTTTGAGATAGGGGCTGGAGAGAGAAACGTTCTCCTTTCAGTGCCTGAACACATCACCTCCTGCAAACACGAGCTCCGTGCTGCTTTATGACAGGTATCCATGTGCAGCAAACAAGTGCTTGTTCCAGCCTTAGATCTTCAGCCGAAAATCAAGCTTTTTGTTAAGCATTTGAATGACTTTGTGTCACTGTTCCTTTTCTGTGGAAGCAGCTGTTCAGTCTGAGTTCCATGGGACATTAAAAAAAGTTCTCTGTTAAATTTAGAAAGAAAAATTCTTAAATGTTTTATCACCGTACTCATTATGTTGTGTGATGTTCACGTTATCCTAAAGGATGAGGAGCGTCTGAGCTTAGGGGGTCTTATTCCAAATTCATCACAAGTTTCTCCATAATAAGCTGAATCAGAGTGATAGAATGTTCGGTTTTAAAACGTCATGGAAATTAATCATAATTAATAATACTGTAACCGATACTATCCTTTTTAGAAGTCTCACACCTGAGCTCAGGCTCTCCACTGTCTGTGGGCACTAGGTCTGTGTGATCTACTGAGAAAAGTCACAGAAGGAGGTCTTGATGCTCTTCCAGTTCTCACTGACCACAGTGATCTCACCCCTGATCCTGTACAACACATTTTACAAAATTATTACAGGCCAGGCAATGTTGCGTTATTATTTCTTATAAACTTGTAAACATCAGGTAAGCTGATGAGGTGGTTGAAAAGCTTGTAGAGATATCACTTTCCATAGATACGCCATTCCCTCCTTGTCCATGGGTAAAGGAGAGGGGACGTTTCTATTATTTCAGCTTAAGTCACTGTTAGAGGCCAGCGGTACCATGGTGTACTTGGATGTTTCATACAGTTCCTGCCTGATGCAACTGAGTCTAAGCATGTTGTTGATTGAATGCACTTCTCACGCTGTGAATTCACTTGCAAGGAGAAACATGTAGATTTTAAAGAACGTAAAAATTTAGTCTCTTTTAATGAGCACAGGAATTAAGTGCTTTTGAGCAATATTTCCTGCTAATTGTAAAAACAGCAGCTGGGATCTCAGAAAATCTAAAAAATTGTGGATTCTTATAAAGCAGTGGCGGTGTCCATAATATAATATATATATATATACACACACATTTGCAATTTCCAAGTAAAACTTCTGTTTTGCAGTGATTTGCCAGGGGTGAGGGGGAAGCACAAATAAAATTTACACAGCATCTATGTCTACTTGACAGTCTTCAAAATAATGAAGTAATGCCTGTAAGCTCAATCCTGCAAATAACATTCATTCTTGTTTTGATGATTTAAGCCCATTGCATCATCACCTCAACTTTCAAAGGTGTTATAACTACAGGCATCAAGTGATTAATATAGGCTTTTGGAGGAAAAGAACTCGTCTGGCTGAGTTTGAGTATTAAATAGCATTTTACTGTAGTTGTTTTGACAAGTCTGGTATCCTCTGTACAAATATGTTGTGCATTTTTAGTTCTATTGGTCTGGTTTTGTCTGTTCTAATAGCAGATCCATCTAGTCTTGCCAAACCCTGTCATGTTTCAGAGTTTTAAAAAACATTTCCAATAAGGAAGAGGCTTTCCATATTGTCTGTGGATCTGAGAGGCTGTATAGTCCTGTGTGCATTTTCTGTGTGTAACTCTTCACATGTAACAGGCTTGTGCTTGTATTTTACTTCACATGCTATTTTGATGTTTCTTTTTCCCCCCCTCCTCATTTTTTTTCTTTTCTTTATTTTTATTCTATTCTCTTTTTTTTCTCTTCCCCTTCTGCTCTCTGGATGCAGCCAAACGCAAAGCTTGGAAACTAAACCGTGTTGGTAGCCTGCGAAATATATACAGCAGCAGCAGCACCAACACTGAAGGTAACAAAACAACACGTTTTAGATGAACACCTCCTCTCTACCCCTTTTTTAACCCGCTTTTCTGAAAATTGTCCTCATTCCGTCTCTCCCTTACCAAATGCAGGAATGGAAATCAAATTTGCCCAAAGCATGCGTGCTTTCATCTTATGTTTGCAGAGTCATTCCAGTGGTCTTTTCATCTTTTTGTTTGTGCATTTTATTTTACCATTCATGTTCCTTTCAGCTTACTTAAATTTTGACCTTTCCCTCTAGTCGTGGAGTGGTGATGTTTAAATTACTTCAAGAACCCATTTTCTTCTTTTATTTATTTATTTTTTTATATTCCCTTTATACATGTGGGCACTCAATGTAATATTTCCCAAGTTATTACAGTTTTTAAAAGTGTTAGTATCAGGTGTAATGATCTGTAGCCAAATACAATAGTGTGCCGTGACATTTAAGTAACAGTCTTAATTTGTTTTGTGAAAGCGTTCTCCATAATGCTCTTTGCAGCTCTAATCCAAAGGCGAGACAGTGCCGGGTCATTTGCATGTGCTACTCTTGCTTGTAAATTCTCTATATTGTTGTATTTCTAAAGGTCATCTGGTGCCAAAGTTCACAAATTGACTTACATTGCTTTTTTTTCACCGAAGACAGCCGTCATGGCTTTTGTATAATAGCACATTGAATTTTTTTTCCCCCTCCACCTTCATTTGAACAACACAATTATAAACTTCCTTCTTTTTTTTATTATTACAAATGTCAAAGGTCAGAATTACTTGGAAGCCAGGAGAGGAGAAAAAACCTCTGCCACCATCTCCAGCGGCATGTAAGAGGGATAGTGTAAGAAATATGGAATGCAAAATAGGTCACAACTCAGTAATCTCAATATAATGGGGGGGGGATTTTTTTCACTTAAGTGCGAACCAAATGGGTCAAGTAATCGCAAGCGCATGCCCTAACACTAATTGACTTATTTTGGAATGATTATAACTGTAATATTTTTCTTAATGTCACTGTTTTCTGGGCTGTTGATTTTAGTGATTGCCAAGCAGTGGCATTAAATCTCTTGTAAATTTTAAATTGCATGCTATTTCTGTAAACAAGTCCCTCTGTTCACATCCTGATCATTAACCTTTGGTGATTTATATCACCGTCCTTTTTTGCACAATTACTGCTGTATTGCTGTTGGATGCCGTGCTCTCACTGCCAAATAAAGTATATGTGGGAAACAAAAGTGTAATTTTCCTGCAGCTTGTTAAGGAGGCTTTTTTAATTATAATTTTGTTTTATTTCTCAGTGTAAATGTAAAATTATTACCTTTCAGAGCAACAGTTGCAAAATTCTTCCTATTTTGATCATTTTGGTGTCTTTTCAAGTGCAAAATATGAAATGAGAGAAAGTGATTATTGGACATAAATGTTTTCTTTTTCCATTTAATAGGAAACTAAGTAGATACTTCTAATAATATTTAATTTTGTATGTACGTGCTGGTTTTTAATCTTTTCTGTTAATCAGTGCACAGACATGTTTGTTACAGGTATGCTCATGGAGGAGCTGGTGATTTTATACCTATTTGTTATTAAATTGTAGCAGTGAAACAAGTGTAAAGCATTCCCTTGTGTCTTACAGATGAAGATCTCAGGGTTTAGGGCCTGTCTGGTTTAAAAAATCCCTTACTGCGCTCATCAGACTAGCTGTCGAAGGCACACAGAATAAGCTTATGGGAACGTGTTCCTGATAGCTATATGGTCCAAAGAGTTTTGAGAGCTGTCATCAAAGTGAAATTCTGAAATTAAACAAATGCATCTTTTTTTGGAAGTATAATCCCTGCTAAAAACTGAAGATCCACTGTTCTCCATAGTTTTGCATCTCTGAGCTTGTATGTTTAACCTCGCTGTGATAGCAGGAGTTGTGAGACTGGCAAATGTAGAGTTAATGAGCAGTGTAAGTATTAAAAGCCACATGTTTAGATAATTATGCCTTCAAAAAAGAAAATGTTGATAGGAAATGACAGTCCAGAATAACAAATCTGCTTTAGTCTTTAGCACATGCTTGCTCAATTGCACTTACACGTTTTTACAGAACAAAAATATTCTCATCATGTACAATTCTCATTTTTAAAAGCTTGATCTAGAAAGCAGTTTCTCAGCTAGTTTTTAATTCCGATCCTATTATTTAGGGATTCTGTGCGCTTCCATGTAGCAAAATCTCCAATTAAGATGGGCAAAGCAAAGGTCTGCACACAGCAACTCAGATGCTGGAAAGGTTTCATCGATGCTTAGCAGCAGCGAGTGTCTGCATGGTCCTCAGCGTGGTGGGTCGGTCACTGGTGCCTGGTGCTCGCACAAGGTCACCTTTTGCTACACGCCGTGCAAAGCTGAGAGTCCTCCCTGAATGTGGTTCCTCTCAGCTATTTGATGCCCAAACCATTGCATTTCTGTCGTGTCTGTCCTGGCCGGATTTTCACAAAGGTGACTGTCTGGGTGTAGGATTCACAGCTGGACGGCTCTAACTTCTGAGGGCAGAAAGAAGCGGGCATTGTACTGCTATGCCCTTTGCTGTTCCTTCATCACTTTCGTACTGATGTTATTTAGAAAGATTATTTCTTAGATTAAAGAAAGTAAAATTTCTTGCAATTGTAGAGTTTGACTAAAACTGCTCATTTTCAGATTTTTGTGTTTGTTTTTTTTTTCTCATAGGGAGTCACTGACAAATGAAAAAGTAGCACCTGCTCCTTATTGCAGGCAGCCAAGATTTAAGCAATCTTTTGATTTTCTAGGGGGAAAGCATGTAATAGCATGTCGCGCTTAAAACAGACCCTGCTCGATTTCACTCTTCTGAAGCTGGAGTCTGGTGTACCTGCTCTCAGAGCAGGATTGTTAAAACATGGAATTATTTTTCCTGTAGCAATGTGTAAAGAAGTAGCTTTATGAAATGTAACAACTGTGCTCTGCATGCTTTGGTTAAACATTCAAAAAGATACTAAATCCTCATTTTTCCACTCTTCATGGTTACATGGGACATGTTAAGCTGTGCTGCATCGGAGTTGCCAGGATCTCATGGAAAACTTGTCTTCTGCATATTCATTAACTCCCAAACTACCTTTTGCTGGAAAGGTCGCGATGCTGTTGCTGCCGTGATGCTGTGCCAATGCAGGTAGTTAGCTTTGACTCAACCACAGCAGATGCAGGGGGAGGCTGTTCATTCACAACACCAAAGATAAGCTCTACCCAATCGACAATTTAAAAAGCGAGCTGTGGGTTTGAAATGTATTGGGGAACACCTAGTGCAAGTACAGACTTAGGTACCCTATGAACTGAATTTAAAAATGACTTCATGCATTTCTTCAAATCGTGTTGCCGTAAAGCGAATACATATGGTGGGGGGGCTGAGCGCCTTGAGCTAGAAACAAGCCTTTCATCATCAGTTTGTCATTCACGGGTAGTGATATAAAACAGTACCACTGAAAAATTCTTCCAGTGGAATGCAACCTTTACCAAGAGCTGTGGGCAACTGATAGCAGAGCTATATTGTCCTGATAGGGTTGATTTTCAAAACTAATTAGATTTAGACACTGGGTTTGGAAAGGGGAGAGAAGTATTAGCGTAGTCATGCCCAGTGGGACATGGCACAAATATTTCCTTAATTGATGCTGCTAATAAACATGCTTATCTTCCAAGTTACAGGGATAATTTACACCAAGTGGCAAAACGTAACGATAGTTATCATTATGTTGTACATAAATAACACGCACCTTCGTTGTAAACAAATTGTGTATTGTAAACATCCAGCGTTGATTGCTGGAGCACCTCAGCAGTTTTTCATTATCATCCTTTTGAAAAGATTGAGGGTTATTAAGGAAGGATGCTTGAGTGGAAGTGGTTTTTGAGAGATAAAAGAGGATGTGATAAAAAGGGAGTTTAAATAGGTCTTGGTGTTACTTCAGGCAGGCTTGAATAGGTCCAAACCTGTAATCTCAACTCTAGAAGATGCTTCATGGGTGTTTGAAATATGCCATTGAATCTCTTGGTTCTACACTTGCTGTTTCTGGAAAGTATATGCTGTGCCACTGGCATCTCTTGCTATTAATTTACCAAGGTAGCATTAGCACCAGAATCCTCTGGCAACTACATTGTGCAAAGATGCAGATGCACGATCTAGCATGTAAGGTAAGAGGCTGGTTGTAAACCACTGACTTGGAAGTCAGAAATCCAGTTTTATTTCTGATTCTTTACAAATATCCATGTGGGCCTATGAAAAATGCCTTAATCTTGGTAAGTCTTCATTTTATGCCCTTGGAAAAGTAACAATACTGTGGTTTTTTTTCAAAGTAAACATTAGGGATGGGTGTGATTTCTGATTGTAGAGTGCCTGGCAGAAAAGGGGGCCTTAGCTTCCACTGATGTGAAGCTGTGCTTGTGGTTATCCACCACTGGTGCAAGGTGTCAGTAGCTATTTATGCTGTTCTTAATACTGAGAATAAAAGATCTGAGAAGTTAAAACTGCAAACAAAATTATATAAGCACATTGTTTAAAGCATCTCTTACTGGGATACCAAGACACGTGTTTTCCCTACATTTTAGTGGACTTAATTGAGCTCTCTGGAACAAGTTACAGAATAATTGTATCCTGTAGTTATTTTCAGTGTAGATTGCTAAATCTGATCTCTGTTACGTACCATGAACACTGGCATTGGTGTGGGAATGCAGTGGATGCAGTGTGACTGTACCTGTTTGTCTTCCCTTGCACAGCACTTGTAAGGAATTGTGCATCGTTCTCCATAAGTGGGTGGGCTGTAGCAATGGATGTTGTTTGGCAGGGGAAAATGTTCATGAAGTTCTGCTGAATGAAGGAAACTTACTATGAAAAGGTAATGGTGAAATCGGTGTGTGCAGCATCAACCGTGGTACCGTGTGGTTCCTAGAAAGTGGTAGTGCTAATGGCTTCCGTGCCACTATATGCAAGGCTGTGTAGTTTTCCTAAAACTCACTGGTTGCACATCCACCGCTCCTCTAGTAAAATCCAAAAAAGTCTCACGTGTTATCAGCTGTATCAACACAGTCTTACAGTTTGGGCTTATTTCCCGTTTTAGCCACCCCTTCCCACTTACACCCAAAAAAAAAAAAAAAAAAAGGAAAAAGAAAAAGAAACCCCACAACATTTTAGACATCTCATGTTGATAATAACTTCCAAATGTAAATCAGTTGCAGCTGTTTCTTAGCACTTTAACCCTTTGTCTGCTGGGCTTCCAGGAAATAATTGATGACTGATTGGCCCATTAACCTTTTTAAAAAAAAGTTTGACAGCCCGGACTTGTGTAATGAGGAGGGATTCTTAGTGAAATCAGTTTGATGGCTGAGTTGCTTGCCCCTGAGGATGAAAAATTAGCCCCATGGGACCTCGTCTGCATAGAAACTGGACACAATTAGTGTAATATCCGGTGTTATTAATGTAGTTTGGAGTAATTGGGCAGGTTGATTTCGACAGGTTGATGGTGCTAAAATACTATTATAGTGGACCTTTCTATGAATAACTGTTAAACATGGAAAACTGTTTAATAAAATTTTGTGATTGGGCTCATAGGGATTTAAATAGCACAACCTATAATTTTACCGAAGAGTAAAACTGAGCAGTTTCACCCTGCTGCCTGAAATTTTTCTGTTTGTGTTTGCGATGGCTGAGGATCTACATGTTTGCTACCTGCGTGCCGTGCCTGTCTTACACATTGCTCTGCAGGTGACGTGGTGTTGGCTCTGGTGCTTTGTTTTGCAGTCGTGTCTGCAAAAACAAAACTCCATCACTTTTAAGCAGAAAATGTGTTATTGAATGCATCTTCCACTGGTGCTCTTGCTTCTCGTCTGAGCTTTGTAAGGATTAAGCCTAATAAAATATGCAAACTTGTGCGTTCTTAATGTGTTGTCAACAACAACCAAGTTGTCAGCTCGCTTCCTGATGACATGGAGATGCCCTCCCAGCCCAGCCTTAGGACATGCTGCAGCCCTCGTAACCCGTGGTGGGGCTGCATGGGGACAAACACACCAACACGCCGTGCAGACCTGGCAATCCCAAGCCACAGCGGCTGCGAGGCATTTGCAGCTTTTGTCACAGTGTCATCTGGTCACCGCAGAAGAGGTCAGAGATTAAACAAGAGAGCCTTTCCTTCGGAAAAAGGATACTTCATGTGTAAAGGAACACCGACAGGAAGCAGCTGGCGGTGTTCCCCCCTTTTCACTCGAGTCGCCTGGATGGCAGGGTTCACACACCACGCAGGATGCCTTCCAGGAGCAGAGGGTAACTTCAGTGCAGCATTCCTTGCAAACAAAGCCTGCAGGGGCACTGTTGTGAGCGAGGACAGTATTTCAAACTTGCTTTTAAAGGGCAGACTGGCTGGATTGCAGAATTTATTTCTCATAATAAATTCCTAAGTACGCAATCACGATTATTGGCAAATACAAGATGGGAGAGTTCAGTCATGCCGAGTCTTGGCTTTATGCACTTCTTTCAGGTCCTGGAATTGTGATGCTGGGAAGTCATGTAGTTCTTAGATGCTGAAATTTTGGGCTGGACCGTGACAGGATTGTGTCTCTGCAGAGAGTCTCTCTAAATTTATAGCACATACACTTGTTGATCATTATGGATGAGAAGCTAGCTCAGTCCTGTGTGCTTGAGGAGTCACCTCTCTTGTAGCGCCCTTGTTTCTTTGCATCCATTGGGCCGTCCTCCCTGCTTAAAAAGGAGGCATGGGGAATTCATTTTCCCTGTGGTGACAAAATGACCCCAAAACCATGCGCCACCCCATGCGATAGCTTTATCTTCCAGCACCCACTGAGTAGAGGAGAGATGAGGGAGAAGGGCACAATACCTAAGAATGAGTCTCCTGAACTGGACTCTGCCAGAAGCTGCTTCATGTGAGATTCACTTTTTTTGTGTTCTCTTACTCTGCCTGCGTTCCCTGGCTTTCTCAGGACCCTCTTCCCTCCAACAAGGCTTTCTGGAGGTGCTTCAGTTTTTATTCTGCAGCACTGCGTTGTCCTGCTGATGACAGTGCCCAGGACTGAAAGCAATTTTAGTCTCTCTGTTGGACTTAATCTTACATCACCTTCATAAACTCTTGAAGCTCCATTTGATAAATGTGACTTTTTTTTTTTTGTGATTTAATCAGCATTTTGCTTTGTGATCCTACCTGCTTTTTACACAATATTGCTAAAACAAATCTAGTTATACCTGCGCAGTTGCATTTCTCTCCTCTTTCTGTTTTCATTTATTCTACACTTATTTATTTATTTATTAGTGTAACTGCTACTTCAGGTGTTCTCATGCACCTGGAAATAACCTTCAGCTCTGTGTGTGTTCTCAAGGTGCAAAGTAACCTACTCTGTTTTTTGAGAGTTCATTAAAGCAGCATAAGCAATAGTCTTGCTAGCATGGAGCTTACCAAGAAAAAAACAGTTGTCCCACAGGTAGAGAAAATGACTTCCTGCGAGCAGCAGTGCTATCTTTAAATCTAGTGCTAGATTGGTCACTTATCTTTACATGCTCATGGATGACAAGGTAATGCAGGAGGTTCATGGCTCTGAATACGTAATAAGTCATTAGTAGACACGTGAATGTAAATGCTCTTTCTAAAACCCGTTACGTCTGATGTTCACCAGAACTTTGTGCTCTATTATTATGTTCCTTTCATGCTTCATGCCTGCTATTCCCAATTCTACTATCTCTGTTTCAGCTTCTTTGATTTTTTTTTTAATTTGACTTTGCTGTCCCATGTGTAGTTAGTGTGCGTACTTCTGTTGATGTTTTCATATGCTGCAGTGCTTCAGCCTGAATTCTAGTCCTTATGCTCCAGTGGCCCTAAAGGTTTTTCTTTGACCTTTTCTGCTAGCTTCTCAGGTCATTTTATCATCTTCCATGTCAAATATGAATGTTGAATAAGCTGAACTGATTTTAATCCTGTATAATCCGGTGTATTTGTGCTGTAGACCAGAAAAGCACATTTTTTTTTTTAACATATCTGTGCATGTACACGTGTGATTGAAGGAAGAATTGACAAACTTTGTGTTGTCACCTCTTTATAGTCTGTCTGTCTTTTTAAGTTAATTTGTGACACGTGTAGCTCTTAGCACCTCAGGTTAAAGTCTAAATAATGTTTGTTGGCCACTTTGTGTTAGAGAAATGGATAGACTCAACACTAAATACTCAAACACATAGAGGAACTGAATATTTATGCATAAAAAAAAAGTATTTTATCTACATAGCATTTAGAGAGAAACATTTTGCATCTGCGAGTTGTTTTGGGATGCATTGTGCAGCTTCAGGGTAGTTGGAGATACTTAGCCTTGAATCTCCGGCATTCAGACCTGCAATTCCTTGTTACATTGCAGAAATTCTCATCAAACAGGATTGTTTAGGCCTATCTATCGAGATCCTTAACTTTTCTTCCTATTACATGTTTTTTTCAGAACAAGAAGAAAACTTCGAGTTTATCATTGTCTCTCTCACTGGCCAGACATGGCACTTCGAAGCTACCACATACGAAGAAAGAGATGCATGGGTACAAGCCATAGAGAGTCAGATCTTGGCCAGTTTACAGTCATGCGAGAGCAGCAAGAACAAGGTATGGCACACAAGAGTAATACTGAAAATAAGTTATGGTGGTTGATGATTAAAAAGAAAGCAAAATCAAGAACCCCGAGTTTTAAAACTTGTCCTCCTAGAGAGATGCATGTGCTAGGCACATGGCACAGTCGTGTTAGAGCTGCATACGTTTCTCAGATATTTCAAGATAACTGGTACTGTAGCTCGTTTCACAGTTTATTTTTGAGAGCAATTGAGTAAATAGAGCTACTGGATTATATTTGGGTCTTCTGGATTGCTCTTAAAATTTGACTGCAACTTGGAGCAGGGTCCCTACTGATAAGTTATATTGTGGATTCACTACTGCAGACTCAGGTTTGTTTCAAGGTAGGGAAGGGCTGCAGAAAGTTCTTTAAGAAGAGCCTGTCTTGGTGAAGAGTAGAGGCAGACCCAAAACCCAGCTTATTTACTTGCCAAATCTCAATTAACATTTATTTTGCTCCTGCATGGCGAAGTTTAGTTAAGCATTCTGGTTGGCCTAGCCATAAATGTGCAGTGGTGTTCAGGCACAGGGCTCCGCAGTGATAAAGTGATACAAATCACAGAAATCAAAGATAAGCTATAGCCTTTTCCTAAAAGGAGCTGTCTTTCTAATTTGCCATGCTTTCACATTATGACAGAAGTAATTTGTTCTTCTTTCCTATTAAAATACACGTTTAAAATCTGAGAGTACTTGAGCCGTTGCTCATTGTTGGAGGGGCAGGAGAACCTGTGATTCCTGAGTCTTTGTGACTGCAAACAGTTCACAACTAGAGAGCAAGGTGTTGAGTGGTAAGGGAGAGAGAGAAAAGGGGAGTAATTGTTCAGACCTGTAGACCCCTTAACCTTATCCATGTGAGAGATGTCTTTAATGATTTCATATTGCAAGAAGGAGACTCAAATTTTGAAAGGAATGCCTGCTTTCATTACCCCAACCTACCAGAACAGATCAGACATCAGTAATTATCATCACTGTAACATAATTTACTTCCTATTTGGTTAAAAAAAAAATGTTTATTTCTAATATATATTCCTGAGAGGGAGAAAAATTACTACCTATTTGGTTTTGTGTCTGACTTTCATGGATTTGCACATTTTAATGTGTATATTAAGAGAGCATAGCAGAGGAAATGAGTATACTAACACCCACGTTAAAAGAGCCCTAATAGAAAAGAGGGCAAAGAGTGGCTGTTAACATTTACTGTGTGATACCTACAGAGAAGATTGTCCTTTGTGTATATTAAATACATGTATTCTTTTGAAAAGGAGAATCCATTGATACGATTTTGCTTGTTCAGAGTGCTTTTTTGGTTATATATTCAACCTGCTACAATGCTCCAATAGATTTTTCTGTAAAGTATTTCCAAGGTCTCACAACAGAAGAACTAACCAGAACACCATAAGCACAGCTAACTGGACAGGTTTAGTAAGCCTCACACTGACAGACTGGGAAGACATATCTCCACATGCCCATACGTAAGACCCGGTCCTAATCCTGCTTAAATTATTTCAAAAAAGATTGACTTTCATTTGAAAATTAATTTCAGAGAGCCCATAATTTGGTACAGCTAACAATTTTCTTCTCAGATAACCCACAAGAAGGTTTAGTTGGATAGAGCTGAACTACTACTACGTGGTGACAGACACTCCGGGTCATCGGCCGGTCATCATGGAGAGAATCTAAATGGGAGCCATCTGATTAAATCTGACCTTTTGACAATAAAGGGTTTCGGTTTCTTTCGCAAGCCATCCCTTAGTCTTCATTAGCAAAAGCAAAAACATCAATAAAAGAAATTGATTTGATACAATAATATTCTTATCTAATTTATCTAAAGAAGTAAATCTACGCTGTACCTTTCTTGTGAATAGCAGGGCTCATCCTGAAGCTCAGTTTTCCTCTGCACAGGCTCCCCACCAGTTAGATTCCAGGCAAGAGTCCCCAGAGTGCTGGGAGTTCCTGTGCAGGGTGGGGACAGCTCTGGGAGAAATCCCAAGCTGACAAAATTAGGGGAGGAGAGAGGGAATTTCTGCTTGGCAGGCATGGTCTTGTGGTACTTGGAGACGCTATTGAGGTTGCTGTTTCTTGAGAGGCAATCCAAAGGCTTCAGGATCTTTCAGCTTATTTGTTGAAACTTGATCTAAGCTTTGTTTTGTTGCCTTTGCTGACAATTTTTATCTAACCCTTTTTATTGGGCTCTTGTTTGTTGCATACGTGTTTCTTCAAATCTGCGCAGTCCCGTATGACGAGTCAGAGTGAGGCCATGGCCCTTCAGTCAATCAGGAACATCAGAGGCAATTCCCACTGCGTGGACTGTGAAGCACAGAGTAAGTACAGCCATTGCCAAAGGCAGCACCGGCTGCTTGCTTGCAGAAACTGACCTCACTCATCTCCTTGGCCGAGACTTGGGTGTACACCCACCGCAGGCTTTGTCTTTTTTGGTATTATATTCCATATGTTGTTTGCACATTTCTTCTTCATTATGGAGTTTGCTTAATCAAGCTTAATTTATGTTAATTTATACTTAATATATGCCATGTCAGATGAGTCCTAATTTTTCCCCCTTGTTGTTGTACTTGTCTCTTCAAATGTGAACATTTTTTCCCTTTCCTTTGAAGAAAGGGAAAAAGGACTTTGCTCTTTGACATCAGTTACTTCCATTTTCTTCCTACTTTGGGTGGAGAGGGCATACGTACTGTGGTAATATTTTCAGAGAGGTAAAGCTTAATTTGTGGGTTTTGGGTTTGTTTTTTTTTTTTATGGTTACTTGTCAGAAGAAACCGAAGTCATTGCTCGTTATGTCTGGATACTAGAAAACTGATTTGGGAATTTTTTCCCCTTTATGTTTCTTTCCCTTTTTTATTTTTAAACATATACCTAATGTTCAGAAAAGTGTTCTCAAGAATACTTTGAGCTGCTCTTCACCTCACTAACCCCAGCTGAGGTCATTATTCTGTTGCTCTTTAGTTCCAGAGGTTTGTAACAAAGCCATAAAAAGGAAGTACTCTTGCTCTAAAGCAATTAGCTGTAGAAGCTGAAGGATTGAGAACTTGCGCATTTTTATTTCTTTGATGTTTGAAAGTCAGAACTTTTTTCTTGTGATTTTACATGTGCTTAAAATGGAAAAATATTCATTTATTTTTCTTTGGATACTTTTTTTAAGACTTACTGTTTAGGATTCTGACTATTTGTCTAAGCCATTTAAACTTTCCAGCTAAATTTAAAATGAACATTCATACAAAAGTGTAAGTGCTTTTGCATGATTAATTTGCTGTCTGCATAGTTAACAATTCAGCTGATTCGGTCATCCACCAAGCAAGCCTGCCTCATCCTCAAAAGGTTTGAAGAGAAGGTGGTTAGCACATTAACAGGCATTTAAAATGACAAGTTTTTTCCAGTCCATGCCATCAAAATGTTCTTCACACTGATTGATTTTAATTGATTCTTTTGAAAGATATCAGATGTCAGATATTCGTATTCTGTCCGTAGGCGATGGATCGAGAACAAAGGCAGGTAGGTGCTCTGTCCTCAGCATGCAGGGATATGAGCCTTGACTGGACTAGGCTTTGAGCACCAGGATTCAGATCCTGTCCAAACAGCTCAATGACCTGCTTGTAGGAGAACTCCAGTATAAATATCATGGACCTTTCACAGACAGACAGAAAAAAATATCAACCTTGATGAATTAAGGTCTTTACATTCCATGGGCTAGTAATCCAGAGTGTGATAAACAAGGAAAAATGTTACTTTGGCTGATATTTTAGCACACACAGATGAAAGTGACTCATTTATTCATGTTCTTTCATATTAACCTGGTAATCGTTCAGATTTATTCCAAGGCTTTAGTGTAGTTGTAGCAGTATTCATATAAGATGCAGTGCTGCATATGAGAAGGATGAGGTTTTCAAGTGACCTTTAGCTTCTCCGAAGTCTTCTCCAGTCTATCTGTACAGCTGTGGGTAGCATTTTCCAAGACCCTGCTAACCGGTCACCCAAATAGAGGGGAAAAGTGTAATTCCTTTATGGCAAACAGGTTCCCACACCCACCCGTGTCCTTGCAATGTGCCCATGAACCCTTTAAGCTCTACCCAGAGTGCACGCTATCCCCAAGGTATGTTTCTCTCCTAGTCTTGTACCCCAGTATTTATGCAGCTCAGCTAGATGTTTAATCAGAACATGATTGTGCAAAAAAAGCCTTTTTTTTTTTTTTTTGTCCTTTTCCTTTCAGCCAGGTTGTTTTTCATCCAGATTGCTTCTTGGGTCAAGCTGGCCACACGTGCACGGTGCCAGCAGGGGCTGTGCCAAGAATATGTTGCAGGGAGAGGGCAGGATGGGACCACCCTTTTTGGCAGCTGTCAACACTTGGTTATATGTCTTGGGGGGTAGGGGGCAAGTTTGCAACCTCAGCTGGAACCTCACTGAATTGTTTGTGTTCTCGGAGATTATTTAAACCTTCCTTGTCTCTTCTTGTCATTTGCCCTTCCTAATTTTAAGTCCTCTATTTCCTTTGAAAAACCTGCGTTAGTTCCTAATTAATGTATCTTAAAACGTAAACATGCGCGCACACTGTGTGAACCTCAGCCTGCTGCTTTTTATGCCAGGCCTTGCTTTATTCCCTTCACTCCCTTTCTCTCTTGCCTGGGCAAGCCCTTACCCCGGAGCATTTTGCATCACAAACACCAGGGCCCTTGTGGAAGGCTTGCATAGTTTGCATCTTCACAAAGCCAGATGTTTGGGAGCAAAGGAATATGAGATGTTGCTGTCCCTCACTTCCATTCAAGGGCCATCAATCTTCCACTTCAGAAGTCTCATTCTTCCTCTTTCTAGAACGCTTTGGCTTTTTAGCACTTCATTACAGCACTTTGTTTCACTGGGGAATTTCTGCTTTGTTGTATGTTAACCAGCAGCAGTAGTACCAGGAGCCCTTGAGTGCTTCAGCCCTCTGCCCCTTTAGCAGTCTCAGACTGCAAACTCCTTATTAACTTTCCCATCCCAGGAGAACAGAGGTGACACTGAGGCACGGAGGCCTTCAGGTACTGAACTTTTAGCCCAAGTGGACTTCATGCCGGTTTCACAAGGAGACAAACCTTCCCTTTTCCCAGGGGCCTTGCGAGCAGTGAGAGGCCCAGTTCCAGGTGGAGAAGGCACTGAAGATGATCAGATCGCTTAGGCAAATGAAGCTAAATTTCTGCCTCCAGATGCTTTTTGCTCTTCCAATTGTAGTGCTTAAAGAGCATATCGGAAGAGAAATATTTCACTCTTGTAAGGTATCTGGAGAGCATGGAATATTAGATCTTTTCTGTTGCAGAAAAAAACAGGGAGACTATCATTACAAGTTTCCCAGTCCAGCAGAGTTTATTGTCTAGACTCTACCATGGTGTATTTTGGATTTGAGCGCCAAACACTGACATAATAACTTCAGCGTCATTGTCAAGCCTATCAAACCCATCACAAGATTCAATTTTCTATAGGTAGAATAGAAGAAAATTCTCAAGGAAATTAAAAGATACGAATTTTTCCCTCTCTTGCTTCAACCCTGCAAGATGCCTTCACCAGCTGCTGCTGCTGCTTAGTTTCCTTGCTCTTCTGTTCCTTTCTTCAGAGATTTCCTCTGTTCAGCCCAGCACTATCTTTGCCATGCTGAATCCGGATGAGTTTAGCATGTGCAAGTCTTTCATCAGCCACCCCATGTCCGAAGGGATGAAGGAGATGGTGTGAAGAGGTTATTTTTCTAAAGTAGCTGTGTTAAGAGCTTTGGCTTTCACATGACCAATTTGATTGAGGTGCAAGTCAAAGTGGGGAAGAAGTTTTTTAGAGAAGGAGAAAACTGAACATCTTTAAGAATATGGACAGCTGAAAGTTTAAATCTGGGAATATTCAGTGATATAAAAATGCTTGTATTTTGATTGGCAAATCGTAAGTATCAAAGAGAGAAACTAGCTTTATAGTACCTCCAGCTGCACAGAATGGGCTTTTTCCTTCTACCATCAAATTTGGGTGTATGCATACTGAAGAAGTGCCTGCCATGTGTACTGTAAGCATCCTCGAATTCAAAATTACTGTTGGTATCAGCAAGAAAAGTAAGCTAATTCTTTTATCTTCCTCTTCTTTTTTTTTTTTTTAATAAAAAAAATAAAATTAAAAAAAAATAAAGAAAGAAACAGTAGATTGTTTACAGCTTAAAATTTCCACGAATTAGATTAAAAATAAATATATATATATTTTATGAGATCAGGAATGCCAGTTTACAATAGCTCGCCATACTAATTGGTCAGTAGTGACTTGTAATCTAGCACATATCCTTTTGAGAACAATTTTTCATGTGCACACAAATTGAAACAGAAGTCATCAGTGTCATCATATCATTTTTTCTCCAGATACCAAAGGCCGATGCTGCTTGTCCAAGCTGCTTATTAGAGCTCTGCCATGCTTTGCATTATCCAGTTGTGACCAAAATCAAAAAGTCTGTTTTTTAACTGAATGTCTGTAATGAATTCAATACTTTACTTTTCTGGTTTGCCACCTTCTTACTCAATTGTGTGTTGTCAGATTGTTGAAATTTAAAATAATATCCGGACAAAATTTTTTGGTTACTTCGTAACTTCTTGGTTATCTGTTTTTCGGACTAATTCAGTCTTACTAGCGCTGTTATTTGGATGTAGACAAATATTTTAGAAATGTATTTAGTAGAAGATACACCAGATGTACTTTAAACGCATAGATGTATTTCTGGAGGGTGTGGGGATCAGGTCCTTAGCATCGCTTCTGTTGGAATAATTATAAAAATATTAATCAGTAATTTTTCTCTTGCTTCATTCTGAGTTAGTACTTCTTTGAACTCATAACACTTCCTATGTCTGTGAAGATAACCCTGCCCTTTGCAGGTTAGGGGCAGAGATTTCATTGCAAGTCACAGTTTGTAAATTTTAAATGGATACCTGCTCTGTTTAAGCTTTTACAGACAAATTAGTGTTTCAGGGGCTTTAGTGTATTTCAAATACACTACTTGAGTTCCCCCACTGGCAAGACACCAAAAGTAACTCGTGGAGGTGACCTGGAGAAATATGCAAGAAAGGAGTGTTTCATGCTTGTCTTAGTAAGGACTTGTAAAGCATGGCAGGTGTTTTGTCTTCTGTAGTTTTGGAGATCTGAAACACCTGCTGTCTGTTTCTAGAGTAAGACTTAGTATAGCTGAAACTTTTTAAACAAAAGATCTGTTTTTCTGCTTAAGTGAAATAAGATGGGGGAGTTTTCTTGTTCTTTTATTATTATTTCTAAGGACTGACAGAAAAATGTCAATCAGTCTTTTCAATGAAATGTTGAATTTTGCCATTAGAAGTATCTGCTTTCATTTAATATTTTTGACCAAAAGTGACATGGCAAATAACTAGGAAATATTTTCTTTCCACTTATTTTGGCTGCCAAAAATAACTTTTTCAATTTTGGGTTACACAAAATAGAAATGAGTCCTTTGATGATATTTGCAATAACAGAAAGAATTATTTTCCAGTCAGCTCTAAATTTTGTTTAGATTTGAATAAAAATTGCCTGCCCTCTCAATTAATCATGACTTTCCTGCTTGGCATTTGTGATAGCCTACTTGTTCTTTGGGAGGCCTAGGGTAAGGAGAGAAGAAAAGATGTGACAGCAGGTGGGAAAAAAGCCACCAAAAATTCCTCCCATAAGTCTTTCATTGCATTTGTTGAAATGAATGTTTGTTGAAGAGGGATATTCATACAAATCTAGATTTAAATAACACAGGACAGTGACAAAAAGTGAACCATCTTGGGAAATGACTTTGAATTTCCCGGCTTTTGTCAGTTTGTCACTGCCTTATCATTTGTGGGGTTATTTTTTTGTCTGTGGAATCCTTCTGGCTAGTACACTAAAACTGGCACTGTTCAAAGTATCACATTTTCATCTTAGTACTTATCTCCCTGATCTTAGAGATGAAAACATACCCCATAGTGTGTTAGATGTAAAAGCCATATGTAGGTGATGATATAGATGGTTATTAAGGGAGTTGATATAGTTAGCAACAGCGACATTGTATCTACTCTTTTTTTTTTCTTTTTCTCTTGTAATTGGCTACGAGTGGCTCTAGATTCCCAAGGAGGGACTTTTTCTACTACTTCTTCATAAGCTGCCTGCTACTCAGTTTATATTTTCCTTGTTTCTTCTTTTCTTTCTAATTCACCCTTTACTTTTGACTGCAGCTGAAACAACACATCTTTCGTGACACACACACACCCTTAGGGTTTCTCGAAATGGCTGGGGTCTTAAGAAGGCAAAATTGACCCTTCTGCCAGGCCTCCTCACTGTGCTTGCGAACAGAACACCGGATTTTTTTTTCCCATTGTTTTTGGAGGCAAAATCTTTTTCCACAAACATTAACTAGAAGGTTTTGTTAGGTGTTTTGTTATTCTAATGGCTTTTCTCCTTTTTCCTGTAGACCCTGACTGGGCCAGCTTGAATCTGGGAGCCCTCATATGCATTGAATGCTCAGGTATACACCGAAACCTTGGCACACACCTCTCCCGGGTCCGCTCTCTTGACCTGGACGACTGGCCTATAGAGCTCATCAAGGTTATGTCTTCTATCGGGAACGAGTTGGCAAACAGCGTCTGGGAGGAGAACAGCCAAGGCCATATGAAACCTTCGTCGGACTCCACAAGGTATGCTTTCTCACTCCATCTGACACTGGCATGCACTGTCAGGTAGCATGTGATACTTACTGCACATGGCAAAGACTGTAAACTATAAGGCTGAGCACATAATTCCTCATTTTGGCATTTCAGTCAGAGGTGGTAGGGCATTACAACATTTTACAACATAGTCTTTTAAAATTCTACCTTCAAGTACCCCTTGTAAAAATCAGAAGGTGTATATCTTCACTGCATGCCCAGGAAGAACATATGTCAAATGAAGTGTGTGTCAAAAGCAGAGTGACCCTGTTACGTTCTCATGCCCATGGAGGTTTCCTCAGCAGCTCTATGATTTTTTGTTCAATTGACTGACCGACAAAACAGTGGGAGATTGAAACCTCCCACCTGGTTATACCTCAATCTAAATTACACTGTAATAAGTTTCTTTGTTTCATTAAGCCACAAAGTTCTTGGCTCTTGGACTATCAGTTTATGATTAATAATCTGCCTTCAGTAGACCAGGCTCACCCAGGACACTGCTGTGTAATTTGTCCCTGGCTGTCAGATCTTTGGGTTTGCATCACAGCTGTCCTGAAAGCCCTGCTCAGTATGGACTTGCTTGCTTTCTTTATGTGAGATATATATGATGCCATAAGTTGGTGGGGGAGTGTGTGTTTCCTATGAGAGCAGTATTTTACCTACCAGTCATAGCTCAGTATAGTGAAAATCTTTCCTGTGATACATTGTCCTACTGAAAACTGAAGGTTTTTATGCTTAAGTTGTCTGATCACTGTCAAAGGAGGAAGATTTTTTGAAAATACTTACCGGATTTTAGTGGAGGTAGGTGTTAATAGTTCTAACTAACATGTTGTCTTGGGGGATCCAAAGTGACCTCTGGCAGACTGGGTTTCAGCACAGTGGGGTTCACACAGGTGGAAGACCTTCTGGACCATCTTGCCCAGCTGGGCAAATCTTTTAAGTTATCTTTGGAAGTGTGTTATAATTGTCTTAGTGTGAGCCCCGGGGGGGCAGCCTGCATCTGAGCAGCGTTCAGTCCCCAGGAAGCAAATGGAATGACAAAGGTTTAGCTCTCAGCGTTAGCCTCGTGTATATAAGAGAAATCAAACAGAGGTAATTGTGGTCTCGTTTTGTTTATGTATATTTCTGGATTCTGCTTTTTCCAATATCAGATGAAGTGAAATTATAACGTGGGAGTATATACCAGGGACACCTCCTACAGTACAGGAGTAGGTTTGTACTGTTGTCTGTAATAAAGTCAACTGTTTCTTATTGCATTATTTCGTTAGCACTGAAAAATGAATTTGTGGTGCCACCTTTGGTTCATCTTCGAGAATGAAGCAAAGTACATTAATCAGGCTACTTGGGTGAATTCCTGTGCATATAAATGTGTTCAGGGAGACCTGCACAGAGATTTTGTTAATACATAAACTGTATGTCAGCTGTGTATGTGTATATTATTATACAGCTAATATAATGATTTCATCAGTTAGTTTGAAATCAACTTCTTGTTGTCTTTCAGTCATTAGTATTACTTTGTGCTTAATCCAGAAATCTTGTATTGTTGCATCTAACAAATATATGTTGCTCCTTACTGTTGAGGTGAACAGAAAGATACCTCAACTCTAAATATTTAAAACAAAAAGGCATACACTAAATTGAATTTTTTTAAAACATGATTTTAGAATTTATATAATAAATTTAGGATGTTGTCATGATAAATCTGAAATGCATGTGGTGAAGATGAAAAGAAAGCCATCCATTTAAATTAAAAAACTTGTTTGTTTTTTTTTGTGTGTGTGTGTTTGGAAGTGAGGCTTACATATATAAAGTCAACTTTTTTCTATCTCATGCTCAGTTTATTTTAATTCATCTTTGTTTCTGTACACCATATTTGTGGTTGGCTGTTTGTCAGTGACATAATTTATTTTCTTTCTTGGGCTATAGCATTTTGGGACAAAGGGAATAAAGATTAATTTTGTAAATATGCATTTCTAGTTATGAGATCAAGTATGATAGAAAAGCTGGTAGAAAAAAATAGAAGTAAGATTATTTGAAATTTTGCCCACAAAGCAATTCTAATCTTGCTTTGCTACCCCCATTTATTTCTGCTGTTTGGAACAGGATTTAAGTGGTATTTTTCACGTGAATATATGAAAATTCTGCCTTTTCAAAGTGTCTGCTTCCTTTTGTGCTTTACTTTGGTCTCCATTAGCCTCATGATCCTTCTGTCCTAGATATGGCAAGAAATAAATCCGAGCATCTCTAGATATAAGTTGTGTATTTCGTTTTCTCTCTGTTGTTCTGAGTTTTGCATGAGGAATCCTATCAGAAGCAGCTATAACAGACCTGAAGTGGGGTTAAACAAAAAAAAAAGTGGAGGAGAAGGCAAGGAAGTACCTCAGGGATCACTACTGGATGAAGTCCAGCAGACCCCTGGCCAGGAGGAGCGAGCAGAGGGCCGTGCGGCCACCCCGAGCAGCGTGCCCTGGGCACCAAGAGGGCTGGCGGCACCGGGGCTGCCTTAGGCACAGTGCAGCCAGCAGGCCCAGGGCCTGGCCCAGAGGCCCTGGGCACAGCCTGGAGCCCAGGAGGCTCCCTCTGAGCACCAGGCAGCACTGCTGTGCTGGGCGGGTGCCACAGCCCTGGCACAGGCTGCCCAGAGCCAAAGCCCCATCAGACTAGAGAGAGAAGTAATTCCATGTTTTCTTCCAAGTTTCCACTAAACTTGTTCCTATCTGTGTTCCCCTCTGCAGCCCCACTTATTACATGTCCCGTACAATTGCTCCTCTTTTCACTTGCATTACATATACTCATTAATCTACCCTCCATAGTTTTCCACATGCATACTCAGACTTCCAGTTCATGCATACAAAAGTGTTGGAAATGCAAGAACAGATTCCTTAACCATTCCCCCAACTGATTCAAAGGCTTTAGCACAAAGCCTCAGTAAAAGACCTTAGACAAATAGTTTTCACATGCTTCTGTGTAATAAATTGATGATGACAACTGATACACGATAGCAAAGCCAAAAGTTGTCAGCATGATGATGGACCCTCTGTTAATAGACGTGTAGTGGGAATCAGGTAACTGAGGGTTTCACCATTTCACGTTGTGTCTTTTTCTTGGAGATGAATCCATCAGTGGAAACCCACAGGCTTTCAAGGGCAGAGAAGGACTATTGAGTGCTCCACAAGTACTCAGGCTGTTGGACTAGGAAGCTCAAGGAGCATTCACATGTTGGACTAAGAGGAATCTGAAAACCTTGACATATGCATGGCTTCAAAAACAGTCCCTTCAGCTTGTGAGAAGTTGGCACTGAGTCATTGCAGTGTATTTCTGTTGAGCAGAGGGAAGGGTGAAGGAGGGGTTGATGTTTTGCAGGCAGGACTGCCAAACGGCTGACTGTAGGCCACAGCATAAATAAGGAGTCTTACCCAGGAAAATGTCACCGACAGTTATAAAAATTGAGCTATGCCAGCCTTGGAGTACAGCTTACATTTTTTTATTTTGTACCCTCAAAAATAAGTTAAACTAATAATCAAACCACATTGCACATACCATACTGCTGGCCTTTCCTAGTGCACTCAAATTCACTTAAAACTCTTTCTCTGAGAAAGTCATGGGAAAGACAAACCTGAAAGCATATTCTGAAGGTCAGAAAGGCTCTCAGATTGGAGTTTAGGAACTCAAAGCCTGAAAGCTTTGTAGCAGAAGTCCTTGCTCCTGCTACTTTCATCAAGGATATTGTCCAGGTATGCTCTCTAATGTTAACTTGTGCCAGATCTCGTAGAGTCTGAGAGACGGTTTATAAAATAATCAGATCTCTAGGTCATTCAGCGCCTCTGGATCAAAAGCAGCACCTTGGATTGCATTAAACTGGAAACCAGTGCAGATAATGGGAGCACAGGTGCAATAGGATCCCCCAAGGAAGCAGCATAATGCGAAGCAGTAGCATGAGCCAAAGTTCAGATTGAGGGTGTTCGCATGGTTACGGCGAGGGAAGAGGAATTAGCATGAGCTCCTGGTGAGTAAGAAAAGTTGGCGAAGCAGCAGAAAAACCAAGCACAGGAGAATATGTGAATATAGAAGAAAAAGGGGACCAGCTGGCCTCGGAGTGTTGTCCGTGGGCCCCTGATTAGGTCAGCTTTAGAAGGCTGGTAATTGGTTCCAGCAATTACCAGCAGCCCTGAGAACCGCCGCTCAAACTTCGGGAGCCTTGTGACAAATTGAAGCTGACTGCTGGTGAAGGAGTATCGACTTCCCATTTCTAAACAGGGGGATCATTAGTCAAGAAAAGCATCTTTTAATTACTCGCAGGAAGAAAAAAAAAAAAAGGAAAAAAAAGGAAAAAGATCTTTCAGTATGGATCCTGCAACAACTGCCATTTTTTCAAGTGTATTCAATATTAAATTTATTGTCTTGGAGGGGAGGGGGAGAGCAGGGAGAGCTTGCCTGCAGTCCCTCGTTCAGTAATGTGGGTTTAATTTGGAGTGAGAAGTCAAATTAGAGTAAATCAATGTTGCAACAATTAACTGGGTCTGGGGATGAGAATGAGGATTTTCCCCTGTAATTGCTATTGATACTATTTAAGCACACTCTTAAAACATTGATTTTGAGTGGTGTGACACAGGACTAGTCTGAGCGGCGCAGTGGGGCCAGGGCAGAGTTTGCTCCATGGAGGAATGTTGCAGATGTTGTGAAGCCAGCTTCTAGGGATTAGTGCTTCGGGTGTCTGCACCGTGTTTTGCACCAGTACGTAGGTTTCCTGCCAGATATTTAACTTTCTTCTGGACACTCCGCATATGCTTTGCTTTCCTGTATCTATTCTTGCTCGTATTGTTTCTGGTTTGCAGACTTGCTTGGCACCGTTGGGTTCCTCAGCTGATGTTGGCCTTCTCCAAAGGAGAGGAGCTGTCACCATCCCTCTCCCACTCCAGGAGGTGATTGTTTCCTCCCCGATCCTCTCACTCTTTCTCTGAGCTCCCAAGGGAGCTCAGTCTTGCTAGGAG